AAACAAAAAAAAATGAACTTAGTCTTCTTAATACCGAAAATAACAGTAATTTATATGATTGAACGCCCTAAAAATCAAACCTTTATGTGGGAAGACAGGCAAGGGTTTAGCAGCTTCATTTGAAGGTGCAGCAACCGGACTTTTGTCATCAACTCCATTATCGCTGGGCGGTGGATGTTTTACTGGATTCGAAGCATGGTCTAGATAAGAAGAGGAAAACGTTGATATTTTGGATAATGGTTTTTTAACGGATAAACACATTTCGAAAGCTGAAGCAAACCTGGTGAGACGGCAGGAGATTCAATTGGGAAAACCGGGTGGGTAATTGGGGAGTTTCTTCTCGGAGATTTTTTTGTTGGTACTGCACGGTTTGAGAGAGAGAACAAAGGATAAACAGAGACATTTTCGAAACAATGTGAGGAAAAACAGATACATACAAAGTAATTCCGCAACCGCATACCAGGTGAGCTAGAGGGTGTTAACTTTGGTATGACGGGATGGACTGGCGGTGAAATGTCAATCGATATCGTTGGTGGAGATGAAGCTGATTCAGAGATTCAGAGACCATAAATGAGTTTATAGCATTAAAAATGCAACATATATCAAGTCAGAGGCGAGTAAAACATGGTACTTTACCAGGAGCACTAGGCTTTTCGATAGGAGGAGGCTTGTGTCTGTTAGAGGCATTTCTAGGAGGTACAATGGTCGGTGTAGGCGGAGGCAGAGCCGCTGATGGAAATGGAGGAATATCCGAAACAGGGGATGAAACCGGGCCTGTGGATTATATCGAGGATTACAAGTTAAAGATTCAAGATTTATGCAAATCAGTGAACATTACAAGTTAAAGATTCGAAATTTATGCAAATCAGTGAACATTCCAAGCTAAAGATTCGAGATTTCAATTGGTATATACCAAGAAATCTCCCACTGTGTAAGAGTTGACATACCCGGAGTAACTCTTCCTGAGAAAGGAGGCTCTTTTGGTGCATCTCTTGGAATGAATTGAGGTGGTGAAGCAATCGGTGTGGTAATAGGTTGAACCGGAGGCGATTTTCCGGGCAAATCCTTCACGGGTATTGTCGTTGGAGCTGCCACAAAATTGAATTCAATACACAAATCTAGTTCTCAAGAGTGCCTGCCAATTGTTTGCGTAATTGTCTGTGAGAGAATCTAAGATCTCGATCCAAGTAAAGAGATTTCTATACCTGGAGCATTAGGAACAGAGACAATTGGCTCGCCGGCCGGTGGTTTAACTCCGCCGGAATCTGACGGCGGAGGAGCTGCCACGTCAGCTAAAGGAGGAAGAGACGGTCGAGAGGCTTTAGGCGGTGGCGCATTGCCGGATTTGTGAGGTTCGGGTGAACCAATCGGTGCTTGACCAAACCCATTTGAAGTTTCCGGTAATGGAGACGGTGGTGATGATACCGGAGATAACAAATCTAATCCTAAAAATTAATAATTAAACAAATCGCGAAATCATAAACAAATCAAATATCCTTGAAATCATTTCCATTCGATTTCTCTTCGTATGGAGAAAGTGAAAGATTGAGTCAACAAGCTAGTAATTGGATTTTGACTCAATTACTACTTTACACGAAATGAAAAATTTTCTCAATACAAATTTCTTCAAAAATTAAAATTAGTCGCATTTTAATCAACGGAAAAACAAATTGATCGTTATTTCTTTCTTTCTTCTCCAATTGGGCTATTCCAAAACACCATTTTCCACTAGTAGAGTTACAACAAGCTCATTGTTGATAATAAAACCAAGAATTAGAATTTGGTGATTGAACATGTAACAAAACGGAAAAAGACAAGTAATTTAGCAAATTGATCCATCTGGGTCTAATCGAACTTTATTCAAACAATGAAAAAATACTTGCTTTTTTAGAGCAGATTAAATCAAAACTTACCTGAGGAAGAAACAGCAACTAAAACCGACGAAACTAGACAGATCCTCAGGAGGAAAATCAAAATCTCCATTCCATAGAAGAGATCAGCTTCCTCGATGATCACGAGGAAGATGACTTTGATGGGAGGTAATCTTAAGCTCCGAATTTAGAGCTGCGAGAAAAATCGAAGTGGCAGAAGGAGAGAAATGGCTTAAAACGCAAGAAGAAGGACAGAGAGAGAGAGAGAGGAAGAAGAAGAAAGTAACAGTGAGAAGGAAGCAAAGGAATGATTTTTTTTTCTTTTAATGAGATTTTTAATGCTCACGACCAAAAAAATAGAGATAATAAAAACAGAAACGAGTTTGGTGGAAGAGAACGGTAGAAATCAAAAGGGGATGCAATTAATATTTGATCTCCAAGTTTGAACAAAAACGTTTTTTATTTATTTCTGGTTTCTGCTCACTATTGGTCAAGAGAGAGAGAGGACTAAGAGAGAGAGAGGACTAAGAGAGAGAGAGGACTAAGAGAGAGAGAGAAATTTGCTTTAACATAAAAGGTGGGATTTTGAAGGTAGTGGGATAGTGTCAATGGAGGAAACTAGTGTGTGTCTGAGAGAGCCTAGTGGGTTTTGAACTATTTGATTTGTTTATTGCCCTTTTTCTCCGTTTAGGTTTAAGAAGTGAATTTAATTTAAAATTCTTATTTATGTCGATAGACTCAATACGCAATAGATTCCCTACACATATGTAGTTTTCAATGGTTAGATTCATGTGGTTTGAGTCTCTGAAATATATGTAGAAGCGTTTCCCAAACAGTAATTTAGTAACTACGCAATATTGTTTAAAATCTAGAATTATAGTGAGACAAAAAAAAAACTATAATTGAAGCAATTATAATATCTTTTCCATGCATTTTAATCTTTAAGATTGCTTAACCAACCACCGTTTTCTTTTGGATAATAAGAAAAAAAGGAAAGCTTATATCAAGTCAATTAGATTTATACAGCTAAACCCACCTTTTAGGATACTTATTTGTTACTTTTGAAACATATTAACAACATACAAATAAATGACATGATTCCTATCATTATCGTTTTCTATCGTGTAAATCATGTTTGTTTCATCTGTAGAACTGGGCTCAAAACAGTAGAAGTTGTCACCGATGGAAATTAACTATAAGTTTATAACCACACTAAAGAAACATGGAAGCATATATCCCCATTGGAACAAGATTTCAAGTCCCATTTTGTAACAGACGCTATATAATGAAAAAAATAGAGTACTGATAATTTAATTTCGGGAAACTATTAAATTCCATATTAGCTATTAGAAAGATTGTAAACAAAAAAAAAATAAAATATTAGAATAATACAATAAATTTCATAATTCAATTTCTATTTCCATTCTCTCCTCGCTTTATTACCTTTAAAAAATATATTTTTCGATATACATCTACTAGTACATATTATGTGATTATGTACATGAAGTCTACATTCTCATACTGATTGATCGCCACATTCGAAGAAAATAAGAAGTGGAATGGATCGAATACTGTTTTGTATTGTGGAATTTGTTGGATATAAATAAAAAGGAATCCAATGAGAATGAGGAGATAAATTTACCCGATCCTACAAAATAAAAAACTTGAGTTCGGATTAGATGATGTTAAAAAAAAAAAGTTGAGATTAGCTTGTGAAACCGATTTAACGTTTATCATATCAAGCTATGACATACTATTACCTTAACTATAACGTAACATCGTATATTTTTTTTTTATAAATGTTTCCTTCAAATCCAAATCACACAATCAATCCTTCTTGATTTCGGGGCATCTCACTTTCGTATATTCTTTATTTGTTTATTTTCATTCCCTTCACAACGTTGTTTTCATATCTTTACTTTGAGAAATAAAAAGAAGGAAAGAACGATAAAAATCATATGGCTGTGAAACCGATAGCAACAATCCACTTTAATTGATAGACACAACAATAGCACCGACGTAACATCTTGTATATGTTAATGTTAAGAAAAAACATCTTGAATATATATATTTTTTCTTACAAACTACATCTTGTATATATTTGCCTCAAATCTAGACGCAAGTATATATATAATTAAATTTTTAACTCATTTTGATTTTTCCGTGGTGCAATCGATAATTAATATGCAAACAAGTCAAAGATTAGGTCCACAAATAAATTGATCACATGTTGACCAAAACGAAAAGTATATGCACTCACTGATCATATTATGTCAATAACCATTTCCCAAGTGGATGAAGAACCTTTCGAAAAATTTAAAAGATAAAAATACACTAGTTAAGTAAGACCAAAAGGTAACTTGAGATATTAATACATTTAGAATTGCATATACCCAAAAAGAGACGGACTTTTATCGACAATATAGGATGTATCTCTCTCTACATCTCCGAAGTTAAAGTCAAATTAAATTGGGCTCCAATTAGTTATATGGAACAAAACTTGCTGATAATTTGACGAAGTTACGGAGGTTTTACTGTATTAGTTTGTTTTTCTTGTTGTGAAAGCATTGACAATATTATTATCACAAAATTGTATTCATCAAGAAGAGTAAAGCCAAGCAAAACCAGCTCTTTAGTAAGAATTAATCCCAAAAAAAGCAACGTTGCAAAACACGTGGTGAAAGAATCAGTTCCGTTGTCACTAATCAAAGGCTATTAAAGTCTAACAAAACAAAATATAATTCTGATTGACTATTATTTTCGTCACAATAATATTTTTTTTTAAAAAAACAAAAATTTCGTTTCAATGCACCGACAAAAACCCAGAGTATTCACACAACTAAAAAATATAAAAAAGAAATGAATAGTGGAACTGCGAGGAGTGGCGAAAATTGCAGATCGTAATTTTGGTGTCTTGTGTGGGGACAATACGATCGATACGACCAGATTCGAGTTTGGATTTTGTCGTTTAATTACAAGAAGTGATCGCAGACAACGACGTCAAGTCTTTGATCCTTTACTGTTCAAACAAATAATATATTCTTTGAAACATAATAAAAAGAGTCCCAACATAATTAGGTGGATAGACATTTTGAGCCGAACCAAAAATAATCGAAATGCCCACGCTTAAACCCAAAAAAGAAAAAAGAATAAGTTGATTAAGAGTATTAGAATGGTCAAAACTCAAAAGCATAGATAAATGTCGAAATCTAAATTGGTCAAAGTATGTATCTAATAATTCAAACTACTAGTACTATACTATAACCTCCCTATATATAGATGATTAGGCATAATGAGGTTTTTTCCCAATTTTCGTATGATGGTCCGGAAAAACCTTGTCGAGCCTCGTGACAATTAATTACTAAATACCCACCGAAATAAATAAATATTCCACTCTGAACTGGAACCGACTAAGTCCAGGTAGTACTGTACCAATGCCATTATTCAGATTTTCAAAATAACGAAAAAAACAAAATGAATGTGTAAATTAATTAATCTATAAAAGAAGCAACTAATCTACATTACTAGAAAATTAAGATGCATTTAAAGAGACAATATATAGACCGTATTATGAGTTAACTAGTCTTTTTTTTTGTCGTAAGTTAACTAGTCTAAAGAAAAAAAAAATGCAATTAACATATACTATTAACAGGTAGTAGATGCATTTAAGAAGAGATATAAAGACCTAAAATATTGGACCATCAAAATTTCACTTTCACATTAAAAGAAGGGAATGAGAAGGAAACAAACACTAAGAGCCATGTGGTTAGACAGAATCTATAAGCCTTTTCTAGGAGGGTTTGGTTGGTCACTTGAGAGTCTTTACCAGTTGATGAAGCTTTTCTTTTGTTTCCTTTACTCTTTTACTAAAGCTGCAACAACAACAAAAGAAAACTTAAGCTAACCTTTAAAGATAACGAGATCATCTCTCTATCTCTCTTTTTAACATGTCACATGTGTTAACCTCTTCCTCAAGGTACCATCCTTGAAATGCAGAGGTTGAATCTGATTCACTAAAAACCAGCCTCACTTTCACTGTTTCGTCAAAAACGGTTACACCAAGTGATCAGATAGTTGATGCTGAGACCACATTTATCAAATACTGCCTGATTTGGTTTATATGTCTACGGAGGAGCTTGAAAATTTTACAATATCTTGGCTAAAAATGATATATTGTATTGTAAAGTAAAAAACAAGTAATTTTTTTTAACAACCAGCAAGAAAAATAAAAAGCACCAAGGACAATGACTAGTTGAGGTGAAAACAGGTCGAGCGAATGCTTCTGTGGTGATTACTCTCTTTAAGGAAAAAAAAAACAGAAATATGTCAAATAAAGTGTTTACAACAAAAGAGTAACATTTTCAACGAAATTACTAAGGAAACTGATAGAAGAGTGTTATCTTTTAGTTAGCCAAAATAAAGAACACTGTTGATGAACCTGTTTCTAAAGATGAAGAGACAAACGAAGCTTTCTATGAGGATGCATTGCATGATTCAGCTTCCGACCTAGAGAAAAATATTAAGTCTAAAGGCAGTTAGCATGAAGCATACTTATTAAAAGATGATGGAATACCTTAGAAGTTTGGTATTAAGCTGGAATACGGGCAGAGTACCTGAGTGCAATGGACACTGAGTTAATCTTGATCGATGCGCACAAGATAACATCTAAATATAACTTTTGTTCAATAAAGTTATTGGCAAGGGTCAAATTCTTGAAATTGTTTCTTAAATTCTTCAGCCAGCTTTGCCTCCTCTTCTTGGTTAATCTTACAGTTTCTCCAGTCGGCCCTGTCTGGGATCTTTAGCAACCCTGCTAGAACCTATAAAGTGCAAAGTCATTTGCTAGACAACAAAATATACCGGATAATCCGATTTTTACTTTCTCATTCTTAAAATTTATGGGATTGGATGAAGTCTATCTAATTGAATCCAAAACTTCAAATATTATGGTCAGAGCATGTAAGTTCTTTTGTTGATGATCTCTCCGTATAACATTGAACATACGGTTGACAGCAAGAGGGAGATCTGATCTATGGAAATAGACAGAAGAAACTACATGCCTTTTGACTTTTAAGTTATCGTTTTGAATTTCTTAAAAGTATAATTTTGCCGTTGCATAATAATACATAAAAATAGCTTTACCTCACGTCCAAATTGCGCAGGGAATACTTCGTTCTCTTCCAGGGTGTGTGATAAGACAGTTCCATCAGGAAGTTCCACATAGAAGAGCCCCAAATCTGCATTGTATTCCTTCTGCAGATATTTTCTGCCCTCAGAACTATCACTAACTGCATATGAAGGTAGCATAATTTAGTACTAAAAGTAACTCGGAATGCAAAGGAAAGAACGCAACTACAATTTGAGTTATAAAGGAAGGGTCCATCGATTAAATAAGATAGAAGAACAACAGCATAAATTTAAGCTTACACTTTTTTGTCACAAGCTTAAAACCCAGTTTTTCAGCCGCCAGACTAAATATTTTAGGAAGAAGACGAACTCTGGATGATGGAACAGGAACAACCTATAGAGAGAAGAGAAAATAACCTAATGTAAACGACTATAATTTCAAAAGATGTACCTGATTTGCAATTGGGAACATTTCTTACCTGAAGGTTGGCATGAGAAACACGTTTGGAGACCAACTCAAAGAAAACTGCATCATTTCCTTGATTCTTATAACAATTTCTCAGACTATTTTTGTATCTACCAAGCTCTGATTCACCTTCAGGAGATAAAACCAGAGTATTGGGCAAATGTTCGATCGGGATTATCAATATGTGGTCGTCGACTAGTGAACCTTTGGGTAGAGCACAGTAAAAACTTTCCCCAACACTGACGATCAAATGTGACTCCACACTCGGGCTTGAAAGACAAAACCAGCATTCTCTCGACCTGAGAAAAGTAATTTTGAAAATAAAAAAATTACTTTCTCAACCCGTAGACCAAATGGCATCTATTTTTCAAGAAAAATGGTCAGAAGTTAAATCAGTAAATACCTGTTAGCATTTTCAGATCTGGGCTTCCTTTGTATACTTTCATCTTGAAACTCATGCTTGTAGCTGCACTCTGGGCCTTTTTCACACTTCCCTTTGATGATAAGATCAAGACAAACACCTCTACGACACTGTTCTCTTGCTTCGGCGTTGTGTTGGAAATGGCAATTTTCCCCACGAGGACAGGACCCTGAGCATACAAATTTGAAACAGAGCTTTTCCCCTTCAGATCCATTCTTTTGCCGCTTTGAGACATCATACCTCCAATATTGTGAATCTACGACACTTTCGTTTGACCTCTTCTTCGACTCATTAGCTCCCTCTTGTAAATTATAAGGACATAGTGTAGTGTTTGGAGGCCTTGCATTAAGCTCTGATGGTGACATGATAGACGTTGGTGTAGGAGATAGTGCATGGAGAAATTTCTGCATAGAGGAAAAAGGGAGTAACACTGGTCAAGACAAAAACCTGCAGAAACGCATAAACGAATGCTCTTCTTGCAAAGATACAGTTAAGAAGCGAAATTGATAGCAATGACTAATCGTCAGAAAAATTCAGGAGGCAACTGACCAAGCAGAAAAACAAAAATCTACAGACCAAAATAATGAGATGCCAAACTCGTCCGATAGGAAATATTGAAGAACACACCTGTTTGTTTTTGTTTCCAACTTGAGCAAGACCAAGAAACCGAGTTACATGATTAGAATCAGCGTTTAGGTAAGGTTCACGAGCATAAAATACCCCCATAGATCCTGCAATGTGGTAGCTGCCACAGAACACAACAGAAACAACAAATAAGTTCCCGACTTATAGATAGTTCCCAATAACAACAATACAAGAACCAAAAACCACTTACCGGGGTTTAACTTCCTTCACCAATTCAGAAACAGTGGAATCACTGCAAGATGAATCAGAAACATCTGCAGGTATATCAGAAGCCGCAGCTCTGTTCTTGACTCCCGCAGGCCATTCATTAGTATACACTAATTAAGGACGACAAATCACAGAAAGCCTGAACATAGAGAATGCATCCACAGTTCCAGTTCCATCAAAGTAAGAAACAAAAAGGATATGTTAAGAACAAATCAACCACTCCAGATTCTTCAGCAAGTGCACGAAGAGCATCAACATCATCTTGACTGTATTTCCCATATTGGCTTTCAGATGATTGCCTACCAGATAAGTAAGCAACAGACAGACCTAAAGAAAAGCAAACCATATCAGCAATATCATCAAACAAAGATTTGCTTCAAAAATTGAATATCAAAAACCTTTACCATGGAGAGTGAACTTGCCACTTCCTCTTAACCAAAACAAATTGTGGGAAACCTCGAGCCCGTCCATCTTGAACCCTTGATTTTCAGCTTTCCTAGAGGTCGCCGATAGGATTTTGGGGGCGGCGACGCCATAGTCGCCGGTGAAGTAAGTAGGAATCGGGACCTGAGCTCGACCTTCGACGTAATCCAAAAACTCGTCTAGAAGCTCCGGAGAATCGGGGAAAAACTGGCCGACGCAAAGAAGAGCGTCAAATGGACCTGCCGATTTGCTAACCTGCAAAAATTGGACTTTGATCAAAAACCTAAGGAGATACAGAATCAGAAGGAGACAGATAGTGATAGAGAGAAAGAGAAAGAGAGACAGACCGATTGGACACGCTTGAAGAGCTGATTGAGACGTCCAAGAGGATCACCGCATAGCAGAATTCTGGGCGCCATAAGTGATGAGTGTGTCGTTGTCGGACTCCGTCGTTGTCACTGAGAGAGATGGTTGATGGAGGAGGAGGCAACGGCGGAGACTTAGAGGAGTTTTGGGCTATTTGGGCCTTCTGTTATAAGCTTAATGGGCTTATGCTCAAACAATCGCTAAAATGCAAAAAGAATACTAATGTGTAGACATCAAGAAACGTTTTTTGTCTGTAAAAGACATCAAGAAAGGTTAATTTCAATGTTTAATTGTTCTATTGTTCCAGGAAGATACTAACGTGTAATTATGTACTGTAAAACTTGTGTTGGCAGTAAAATTTGATGAAGATTCCAAGGTAATTGTAAAGAAAAACTGGGTCTAGGGTTTAAGAAACTTAAAAAAGATTGAAAACCTCAAATGTAAAACTTACATTTGTAGAAGGAGGGTCGGAAACCCGAAGTCATTATCAACTCAGATGAATGATCTTACCATGATATCAATCTGGGAATTTTAAGAAGCTCAAAAAAAGGAGAGGACGTGTCCCATTTGCCCAAATCATGATCAACAGAAAGAAGCAGTACCAAGATCGGTTCATGCAGGTTACATATGTCACAGACTTCATCATCGCAAGAAAATGATGGAATACGGTTTTGATTTTGGTTTCCCAAGTATTATTTTTCTAATCACAAGTGATAATGATTTCCACCTATCTATGGATTTCCTCCGTGAGAAGGAGTGCAGAGTTCTGTTGGCTAAACCCAGACATGTCACCCCCATTAATCTGTTGTTGAATGCATAATGGACTTAGATTTTTGAAGAGCTGGTAGTTGGAGAAAAAACCCAAGATAGCTTTCGGTATTTGGAGTTCTTCTCCTAAGTAATTGGATCGAGAAAAATAAATATGTTGTTTTTTTCATTATGTTACAAAAATCTCATTAGTTTACAATTTCCATTTTAATTTTTTTTATATCGTTTCTAATTTTTAATGATGTTGCTTGGACAAAAATTATAAAGTTAATTGGGTTGCTTCACGGTCTTTGATCTAATAGTTTTCCTTTTCTTTTATCCCCATTTGTAGCTTTGGAAAAAAAAAGAAAAAAAATAACATACATGAGTTTAATACCAAACATTATACATATAATTGTTTTCTATAAAAATAATTATTTTCTTAAAAACACTATCAAACCAGTGAAGAATTCCTCATTTATTAAAAAAAATGAAAAAATGGAAAAAAAATACTACGTGCTTGTTTCAAAAAAAAAATAACCTTTCCTTAGACTAATTACTTGAGTGACCATTTAATGATAGGGGAATGATCAAAAATCTGTAAAATCTATGAGACCAATCAAGTCAAATACAATAACCATGTTTGTCTTAGACATTAACAAAACCAAGCTTTAAAAAAGATAACAATTCAAATACTAAAATTGTCTTAAAATAAGTTTAAAAAAAAAAATTGTCTTAAAACATTAATTTAAAAAAAGCAAACTCAGTCATCGTTCTTCAAGCTCCATCACGTCACGGATAATAAATTTCAGTGAATAGTGAATGCCTGTATCCTTTCGTCTCGCGGTATACATAACCAAACTCTCACCCCACAAGTTCTGAATGATCCAATACGGTCCTCTGTTCTGATCACTTCCATATCCAATAATAAGACGAACAACGTGGAAACCTCGATGTTCACGTGAGTTAGGTAATGAATTATAGATTCTCTGAAAACAAAAATCAATTGTCAACAATAAATCACATATACATAAACCTTTATATTTGTTGTGCTTATTTTCACTCCAGAAGGCGGGAAATTTGAGTCTGACACCAAGTCAGAGGAAGATGAATGGGAATACTAGCTGCATCAAGACTAGCTATGGGACCAATCAAGTAAATTTGTTCTTGCATGACATTAAAGTGTTTAGTTATATATCTTAATTATTGTATGCAACCTTCAAAAGCTACAAGCTTTATCTACTTTTGTTTGTAACCTTTCCTTAGTCGATGTGGAATCAAACATCTTCAAAAAACCACTCTTAACAGTAATATAGGATTAATTTGGATCAATTGTTTAATGATCCGTTTCTGTGATTAAATTGCAGTGGCGTATACCAATCCTGGCATTTTGCCAAGCAAAAATTTGTTATTTGTTTATCTAGCGATATTTTCCTCATTTTGTTATAGTAACTCAAAAAGTATCTTGTATAACTTATTAATTATGTGTAAAACATAAGTCGACCAAGGCAATCTATGAGTGTGGTAAATGCCACCGTCCAGCTCGATTTCAATCAGTTGCAACCATCTTCACATTGTATTCCTCGTGGGTGGTCTTGTGCAGAAGAAGTCGTCATCTCTTTTTGATCTGCTAGACCTTCAGAAACCATAGTTTAATAAGCAGTTCTTAGATCAGTCTTGTTGATAAACTCATTCATAAGCTCATAGCATAGATCAGTCTGATTGACTATAGCTTTGTCATTTTGTCATTCACCTAATTACATCATCTTGTTTTCTAGCTAACTAATTCTAAAACAAGACTATTGCTGATAGTTATTTTCGAATTTTATGGACACCTTTGTATGTTGATTGAACTTGTTGAGGCCTTGAGGGTATATACCTAGCTCGAGCCTCGTAAAGTCTGTGATTTCAAATTAAGGTCGCATTAAACCTGATTGATGACGAAGAGAAATAGAGAATAACGGGCCTTGTTTCGGCCCATCAAACCTCTAACGGGCCTTCTTGCTTTTTAGTTAGGAGATTTTTGTTTTGTTTCAGAAGATGGAGTATAACACAAGTTTCTTGATCTTCTTCAGAAATAAACGTTTTTCTCTCCTATTCTCTTCTCCCAATCGTTGCGATTATCCCAGAGGAAGTGCTTTAGGGGTTTCGATCGGTAATGGCAGACTCTGTTTTGAAGGATCTTAACTTTCGCTCTCTTAAGATTCCGAAGTTGCACGAAGGAGCGAAATCGTCTTCGCAATCGTCGTCGAAACAGCGCGTGCTCAAGGGCGGCGGAGGGGATGATGATGAGTATCTCCGACAGTACTTGCTGTTTCACTACCAGTTCGAGAAATCCGAGGTAAACTCAATCTCCAGATTCCTCTGTTCTTCAAAGTTAGGGTTTTGATTCGGGAATCTGATTATGAATTTTTGTTTTTTTGTTTTTTTGGGCTTAATTAGGGTTTCACGATAAATTGGGAACAGTTTGATTACGTATTTCGTAGTAGCTCTTTCGATGACTCATATCCTTTTAGCGATACAAAGAGCAATGCCGAATTGATCCGTGAGATGACACTCTCTGCCATTGAGAAGCACAACGAAGCTGAGGTACACATTGTTTGGATCCTTCCTTTTTTCTTACATCTTGTTGAATTATCACTAATTAAATTTTGACCTCGAGTTTGTATTCATTCAGGGAACAAAAATTGTGTTTGTCGAACACATAATGGCAAATTTCCAAGTTCCCTCTGGTCTTCTCTGTTGGTTAACATTCTGGGCTAGAGACATGAATTCGTCCAGTCCAGAGTCGAAAATCTATCAAGCAAAAGCGTGGCGCCGTGGAAAACTGTTTAAACTTTACATTTTTAGGCTCAAACCAACGGACAAAGGTGATTTCTCTCTCTCTCTTTTATGTTTGGTATCTGGATTGGTTTCTGATTTAGTGTTTCTTTTGGATGCAACATACTGAGATGTTAATTTGTTATATGTATGTTTACTGTGATTGCAGAGATTGATTCTATTGAAGTGCAACCTCCCTCTCCCATGCGTGCTGACTTTGGTATTGCTTCTTCCTACGCCTTTCATTTGCAAGTGTTGCTTTTATTAATCAAAACAAACAACAAGGCACGACTTGAACATTGAATAAGCCAGATTCTGTTGTTTTGTAGATAAACCACCTATTTCTTTTGCCCGAGCTGGTCCTGAAGATGGAGTCCCCTTTGTCTTCGATCGAACTGGTGCTGGTGTTGATCCTGATAGGTTTACCCCGGGCTGGTGATGAAGATGTTGCAACCTTTTGTTCTCAATCCAACTAGAGCTGGTCGTGATCCTTTAAGAGGCCCTTGGTGGCAAAATACTTAACATTGTGGACTTAGTGTGTTTCTTTTTTTAACTCGCCGGTAGAGATGGCGGGGAATTTTTTATTGAAGAAGAGGAAGTTGAATGCAAATATATAGTTGCATGAAGACATATATTCTTCCTCTTCATTTGCACCGGTTTTATAATTTTGTCAACTAATAAAAGTTTAGGTTTTGTAATCAAAAATATACAGTTGTGATTTGAAAAGTGTGAAATATGGAGGAACAATGCATTAAACTATCATCAGTTATGTCTATCACGTGTGTCCCAAATAAAAACGAGTGGAAAAAATGAAAGTACAAAATTGGAAAATTGGAAAAAGGAGGATCACTTCCATACGAATTCCTTTTTATTTTTACAAAAGAAAAAAAAAACTAAAGATTACATTTACCATCCTTCGTTTCTATTTTCCCCGATAAGCTTCTTTAGGGTTCCAATCATGGATTCTGTTTCGACGAAGGAGGCGGCTTCTCGCCCAGTAAAGACGCCGAAGTTAGACGAAAAAACCATCGTTGAATATATACGACAGTATCTCTTGTTTCACTGTCAATACTACAAAAAACCAAGGTAAAGAACTAGTGAAGATGCCGAAGTTAGACGAAAAAAGCATCGTTGAATCAGAACCATCTTCCACCTACGAAAGACTCCGGATTTGGGAGCCAGAAAAAGATGAATATATACGACAGTATCTCCTGTTTCACTATCAATTAATACTATAGTAAGATCTTGTCTCCCTTTTGACCTTCTTCGAATCTGTTCATAAAATTAGGGTTAATTTATACCATATAAAAAGCGTTTCTGTGTGTGTTGCTGTTGATTGAAAACAACAATATGAATACATGAATCTTCATTACCTGAATCAATAATAGCATCTTGAGATTTTAGTTTGTTTAACGTTTCTGTTCTTTTTCGTTGTTGGAATTGTTGTTGGTTTAGGGTTTCGGGATTGAGTGGGACAAATTTGATTACTTTTTCAATCTTTGTGACCCTCACGATGGAGCACCGTCAATATTTTAGAATAAGAGCAATGAGGAAGGGATCAAAGAGCTGACGCAACTTGCCATTTCCAAACACAACCAAGAGAATGTCAGTGCTTTTGTGTTGATGACTTGATTCTAAGGTATTATAATGAATCTATAACTTTGGAAACGTCTTATATATATTCTCCTTATTGTTATTGTTCAGGGAACAAACATTGTGTTCGTTGAGCACGTCTCGGCAAATAACCGGTATACTGGTATGATGGACACTGGATCACATTCTAGGCTAGAGACATGTCCTCCCCTTGTCCTGAGTCGAAACTCTATCAAGCTAAAGTACTAAGACGTCAACATTCGTATCAGTTTCCCATTTTCAACCTCAAACCGACAGTCGAAGGTGACTTCATTCCTAGTATATCTCGTGGCTCAAATAACTGATGAACTAGGCAATAAATAACACAGTGTGATCAGCTTTCAATACTTGTTTAATTAGGCTATTTTGTCTATATACAATGCTGATTCGTTCTTCGATTGGCTATTTGATGCTAATCAAGCTGCATTTTCTGCTTCTTGATATGTATTTATGTGATACACAGAGATGATGGCCGCTCCTGTTCGCGTGAAAACTCCACATCCCATTCATCATGACATAGGTAGTGCTTCTTCCTCTTCATTTGCACTGGTCTTGTACTAGTTGGGGTTTTGTAATCAAGATGATTTGAAAAGACATTAGATTTGATGTCGTGCTTTAGTGCCATCTAACCTGATATTTTTGGTCGTGGATGCAGATAAACCACCAGTTGTCTTCCGTTGAGCTGGTCCCGGAGAGAATCCCGTGCCAGGAACCCCCTTTGTTTTCACTCGAGATGGCAGAGAATTTGAGTCTGACACCGAGTCAGAGGAAGATGAATGGGAATACTAGTTGCATCAAGACTAGCTGTGGGATCAATCGAAGTAAACTTGTTCTTGCATGACATATTGACATTAAAGTGTTTAGTTAGGTGAATGCATGGAAATACTAGTTGCATAGGTGCTGCTGATTCTTCCTCTTCATTTGCACCGGTGCATATCTTATATTCTTGGCAGATACAGAAGTATGTATATTCATAATTTCATACCCTTGCCCAATAAAAACGACCAAAGAAAATGACGTGATGATTATGGATTTTGTTGTTGGAATCGTTGTGGTTTTGGGATTGAGTGGGAGAAATTGGATGGCTTTTTCAATGTGTGTAACCCTTAAGATGGAGCACCACCAATCAGTGGGACAAACAGAGCCTTGAGTGACGCTCCACATGTCTAGTATTAGGAGTTTTATCGTCATTAAGTTTGCATTAAAAGTTTATAACGTAGGGGATTGCAAAGTTTTAATGGACATCTTAGCTGGCTCATCTGACGACATCTCGATAGCAAATTTAATTCTGGATATCAATCAATGGCTATCGAAATTTAGTTGTTTTAGCACGTCACATATCAAACGTGAATCTAATAATGCAGCTGATTTGTTAGCTAGACATGGTCCTCCAAATAATGTGTTTTGGTCGGATTGTATTTATCCTCCATATTGGCTTACAAACATTTTGTACTATTCTTTCAAATTAATAATATAAACAGTTTGCCGAAAAATAAATAATAATTAAGAGTTTATAACGTAGTATGGGTTTCAAGCCAAGTAGTAAGAGCTTTCTCGTAATCAAGTTACTTGTATCACAAGTTTATTTATATATATATATATAGGTCGAATATAAACAAAATTTATACACGTACGTTATGTATCTTTCATTATCACTTGAATACAAATTACACTATGGAAATGTTATTATATAGGATTTTGAAAGGAAAAAAATAGTGAAAATGAGATGGTGAAACAATTCCGCTAGATTTTTGGATTCATGGATACCTTCTCATCCTCCTTGGCCTGCCCAGAATCTGCCACAAGCATCCCATGTTCAACTACATGATCTGTGGCATGAGAACTATAAAATCTGGGATGAACTAAAAGTTCAAAATCTCCTCATTAAAAAAAAAAAAAAAAAAAAAATCTCCTCATTACCAGAGCTGACTCAATAAATTTAGAGTTTCTGGGCTAAGTATAAAATTTTGGCGCTCGCTTAATATTAAAAAAAAAAATCAGCATGTCAACACTTGACTTGATAATAGACACATCTTAAAACTTAGGGATTTTAAAAAATTGAGATACTGATTCGACAAAGAATTGAGATACTGATTCGACAAAGAATTGAGATACTGCAACCAATTTATAAATTTTGAAGATTATTTGAAGTTGTAAGACTATATCAAATGATACCTTGATCTCCTTGATCTAAACACAACACCAAAGAAAACTCAGTATGGAAACTATAAACCTTAGCATTTTTTTGTTGGTTGAACGACTATAAACCTTAACTGAACCTTGAAAAAAACCATAAGTGTTAAATTGTTTATAAATAAACAAGAGATCTAAACCATATAGTAAAATAAAAAGAGGGAAAACTTATTTTTCTATTAAAAGTAATGAATACCTAGATCACTACATCTAAGAACAAAAATTGTGCAATCTTCAAGGATGATAGGACTGATTCTCTTTTCAAACTCCAACTCTTTTCAAACTCCAACTCTTTTCATTAAATTGAAATATGTTTTGATGTTAATGCCAACATATGAATTATACTTCATGTTGTTGACAATATGTAGTATTGACAATTCTATGTCAATCAACTTACATTGTTACCAGTACCGGTATATCCGTATAAGTTATCGGTAGTCGGAATGAGAACCACAACAGATTGTCTCACAATCCTCTCAAAATTGATATCTTTAATCTCCTCAGTCAATTGAGTGAAGCTATTGATGGTGTAGCGATTGACCTGAAAAACAATATAAATAAACTATACTCAAAAGTATTTATAACTTAGTGATAAATATAGAAACAAATAAATATACATATATATAATTTCACCTCTTTTTTGTAAAGATATTTTCTTTTTTTTTATTTCTCCATGATGAGGCTCTTTGCAAACTCTATTTACTTTCATAAAGTTAAAAGCGGTTTTTGATGTTGCTAATTCCAATTTCTGAATCATATATAACATTGTTGATTATGTGTTGAATAGACAGTTCCTCCTGTAACTGAATGCTAACCCCTATGTTAAAGAGTTTGTACGGCTTGCACTACCGGATAGCCCATTAATATACCAACTATTTAAGAGAGCTTCTACGGCTCACATCTGTTCATGGGTCAGAAAAACTCACTATTTACAAAATAAAATACTGTTTTATAAAACAAAAAAGTACTCAACGCAAAATCTACACCATAAAGCTAAGAGACCATTATTTTAAAACCAAAATTGTGCAACTTTGACATAAATAAACCAAAATATACCAAATACTTATGATTTCGTGCTCTTCATTTACGCCATTATGTGACCTAAGTTGAACTAACATAACGAGCTAGCTAGTGAAGGATAAGGCATTGGCTGAACATATGATAAGTGAATGCTTTTATTTTATGATATTGATATAAGAGTAAGATCGTAAACGTGCTTAGCTTTGTGAATAAGAATAACTCTCTTATATTAATGCTTAAGAAAAATATCTCAAAATCTTAAACACCCAAAGCTCATATGTAATGCCACATCTCGACACCCATATATATAGCAAACATAATTTCCTTATTCTAATTGTATTAGATAACTCCTAAAGCAACTAGAACCATCTAGAAACCGACTAAGCCTTTCTTTTCCTAATCCGACTTGATCAAGGTTAACTTGGGCTTGAAGTAATGTTGAAGTTTATCCAACATTCTCCCTCTTAAACTTCAACTCTTCCTTAGCAATATCTTGAAGACCAATTAAGCTCCTCATTTCAGCAAACTTGACTCGTGCCAGCGCCTTAGTCAGTATATCCGCCTTTTGCTCTGTTCCTGGTACATGTTCCACTCCAACCTGCTCCCTTTCAATGCATTCTCGCACAAAGTGATAACGTTTATGGATG